CCTATTAGCGACACATTTAGAATATTTGGATTCCCAAAGCTCCAACTCAAGCGTTACTCCACCTATACATAATATATTCATTTCCGTTAAAATGGAACACTGTATCAAAGGATGGACTGCTTGGCCATGAGTGTTACCCTAATCATATTTAATTATATAGAATTTGCGCAAATTTATGATTTGTATACAGACCACTGTATACATACCATAAAAGAGGAAAATGTGTCATCATGCGACCACTCTCACGATAGAAGGTGAAAGTAAAGAATCTTTTTATTTCTGAAATACTAATTTACGCAGGAAGACAAACACTGTTCTAGTTTGGTCTGTATACATATTTCTTCCACTTTGCTCTCCGGGTAAAATCGACAGCCAACGGGAACGCGTCAATTCAATCAACAATCAATCAACAACAGCAGTACATCAGCCATTTGAACTGATGCTTCGCTGCCACACAACCATGATGACCTATGGAATAAAGAATAATAAGGGGAGAGAAGGGGGACCTAACTGAAAACCTTAATGCCCTAAGCAAACATTCAGGGTTAAGGCGCCTAAACCTTGTGTAGACAACATACCGCCACAAACAGCTATTGTGCAAAGATAAGGCAGCACCGATGCGACAGCTTCCTTGCGACTTCCACTGCCCCGCGTCATAATTAGCTAGTACCCCGGAGATAACTCAGCAGCAAACAGACTTTAAACAGACAATCCGATTAGGAAACGGCAGTAATGTGTGTGATCACAGCAGTCTAACAACTAGACAAAGAGCCAGCAGAAAACCATGGAGATTAGAGGATAAGGGAGAGTCATCGATTCAAAATCATCGTGGCATAGTAGTTGAAGGTGAGCAACACGCTTCAGCTAATATGCTGCAGACGCGCCACTGGTGTCCGTTGGCGGCCATGTCCTGTCAAGCCTCAAGCTAAGTACAAGGCGAATCATGTGGACTCCAGCCCGGAAGGCGAGACGGACCAACGGCACCCAGTTTGGTCGTCAGTGACTTCATTTCCCGCTGTCAAGTCAAATTCTGTCCACATTGAGCCTTGCGTCATTCTATACCTGGCAGACTAAACAAGACCCTCCTAGATAAGCAGTGACCAGGCATACGTAGCCCGTGTCCGAGCCAACGTAACTTATTCAGTGCTATCTGTTGTTCTAGGGAGAGAGTATGATTATCACTACCTAGTACTCGCCTACGCACATCATCGTTGCGGACACGCTGGTGCCATCCAACACCAGCAATGCTTCGCAGACAACGAGGATCAAAGACCTGGAGGCGCCTCAGATCCTCAGACCGAAGCGGTCAAGTCTCACTACCATAGGGCATAACGGCCCTCACTGTGGCCTTGTATACACGGCCTTTCAGACGGAAGGAAACACTCTTCTGTCGCCGAAGATGCCGCAGGTTCAAGACCACAATTCTGGTCTTTACAATGCGTGAACTGACTTCAGTTTCTATGCGCCCATCGTTGCTGATGCAGCTGCCAAGGTAAAAGAATTGATCAACCACCTCGAGTTCCTAGTTAGCAAGGGTCAAGGGGTCATAAAGTGGCTGATGGTCCTGCAGTAACACTTTGAAGGTGCAAAGAGCATACCAAATAATGGGACCACTCTAGACAGGCTATTCAGGGTTGATTGGGTCGCCGCAACACCGTCGAAAAGCAAGACGATATTGTCCGCATAATCAAGATCAACTAACCTTCCACCAGGCAGCACCTAAACTCCTACCAACATCGCGTCAATTCGCCAACATAAAAAGGGATACACCGAGCGATTCACGAGAATTTACGCAAAATGGCAACTCGCAGAAAAATGATGCTCCTAACAAAATGGTACTTATTAAGCTGCCGCTTAAAGGGGATCAAGTTGACTGGAGAGGTCGGTGTTGTCTCAGCCAATCTGTTAGCAACTGATGGTACGCGGCTGCGCCAGTGGTATTTTAGCAAGTCAGAAATATTCTGTGCAGATCCAAGCTATACTCAAAAGACCGCGTTACACATTTGAGCTTTTAACTGTACTTGCGGGTTCAACTACACTGGCACGGCTGAGAGAAGGATGACAGCAACGAATGCAGAGCAAATCCAGCGTTGCATGGTTGCAACTAGCCAACGGAAACCCGCTTACAATATTGGCATATGCTCTGTGTGCCGAAACCCACGTGTAGCGTTGCAGTTGATTGCCAAACAAAGCAATCACTGACTACTTCATTTCATTGAATCCTCAGCTAGTCGACATTTAAAACTCAGATTGTCCAGAGAGAGATATATATATATTACGTGTTAAATCTAGTCCTATTCTGGTGAGGTCAATGATCGTTTTGTCATCTGACAGGAGTTAGATGAACACAGTGGCTTTCAGATGAGTTAACTTCATTATACCATCGCACTTTGATTGTTTCATATAGGCATCCTATTTATTCCACAAATTTCTGTACGTGGATTATGTGAAAACGCAAAATATCCGGCTTCATTATACCCTGTGAAAGCTAGCTACGTTTTATCACACTAATTCGTATTACAACCTGATGGGGTCCTTTTTCACATGATTATATCTAACCTTGGTTCTTTTCTCAGCCCGTTCTTTTATCCACCTAATAAAACAACCAGTATATTCTTCTCATTATACTGCCACTAGCATGCGAATTTCTATAGCTTGCTACTCAGTAACACTGCTGCAGCTACATATTTATGCTGCTTTAGTAACGCCATGTTTTCACTAAATTTATGTCTAGTACCTAAATTTCCCTCTTGAATTCATTTTCATTTTGAGCACCAACGTGTGCCGACTGACAGTGAGGAGCATCATTCTTATTCTTCGATTGCTTTCGCTAATAGCATATCTGTTCCCAAAGCTAGTATTAAAACATCCCAAGAGCCTCATCAGTTTTGTTTACAAGCATGTTTACTGAGTACAGTAAAATTGGTATTTTAAACATTTTTCCAACTGATGGCTTACACTGTGTTGCATATTAATATATCTGTTGCATAGAAGTGATTAGAATAACATTAATTAACTGATATTTTAGCATATATTTTCTTCTTTGGACAAAATTGAACACTAAATAAATGCCCTATTTTTATTTTCCGCATTAGGTTCGGTTCCGATACATACCGAAATTCCGCAAATATTTTCCAGCGCAAGCTATATAATATTTATATTGTTCTTTAGGTCTATTGTTGTCCACACGGGAGCGTCTTCATATCTATTAGGGTATGTTTCATTCACAAAGACGTCCTATGATGCTATGGTCAGTTGTTTTTATAGCGTTAGATCGCAGAGACTCAAATGCAGCAATACATGCTATGTAGGATGAGCAGTGGGATTTTTGTATTCCATTTTTACACGTTATTCATAAAAACACTTGCCAATCAGTCCGTTTCTACTGTAAGTCCCTCACTGTTTAAGTGGTATCATTTCCTCCCTCGAACTTGTCTAACAAGTAAACATGATAGGGAGGCTATCCTTCATACGCCATAGCTTTGGCGGATCAAGGTCTTCTCACTATACCTCTAGAAGGGAGGACGTATTTTGTGGAATTAGAACAGTAACCGGAGGTCAAGTGATATGCAGAATTAACTTACGTAAACCATGGTTTGTCTGTTTTCCGCTTCTTAAAGTTCACCACCATGGTGCTGGGGCACACGAATCACTACTCATCGAATATAATTTTGAACAGAAACCCGTGAATTTGTTGCGTTAGTACACCTTCACTCAAGACTCTTGACAAACGCTTGCTAGTGTGCACAAAAGTATTATGTCAATTACTTCGCAATGATGATGGAGAACTGCAATGCGCATATTATCGCGATTACTGCTTAATTTAGTTTCCTAAATACGTGCACGCCACGATTCTTTATGGCACGATGTCTTCAGTAGTAGTACCGCCTAAACTACGACCTTTGTGCGATTAGATCGCGATACACAATCTAGGTTAAGACTTCGATATACTTTATAGCGGACCTCGGTTATTAACATCACCAAGCCTGGACCAGAAGTGATAGGGTCTCTGTGTTGCACCTCCTTGCAACGTCCCAAGTACTAAGCAAATCTGCGCAGAGAACATCTTCCGGTAACATATCACGGGTTAATCGGCATGCAGGACGAATAAAGGCGTATCAATATTGGTAGTAGAAAACTCTCGCGCCAACCTACACGTGGACTCGTGAGAAAAAACCAGCCAGATAAAGCTGAAGCAGGAAAAAGAAATTTTGTTGACAAAATTGCAGTCTTTATTAGAGAAATGAATCAATTGCTCTCAAATATCCATCGGACACGTTTTTCTGTGCACTCCTTTGACATTGTTGAAAAATCGTTAACGCGAACCTGCAAAGTTTAGGCGCATCATGTGATAAAACAATGGCATCATTATATGACATACATTTCTACGGATTCTCATTGGTTGGTAATTCGGACTTCAAGTATTAGCAATCTGTGTTTCTATTCAACATATTGTGTTTAATTTATGTAAGCATGTGGACAGCGATTCTCATTAAACTGATCCTCAGTCAAATCAACCACTGAGACCGTAACTGATGAAGGTGGCTGGTGTTGCCCTCCCAAAAACACTACATTGAATGACAGGCTCCAAACTAATTTATCACATCAGGTAGAGGTCGAAGGGACGCAAAATCGAAGAACATTGGATGTCAGCTAAAGCTAAACTACTTTAGCCACAAAGTCACGATCCGCAAACGTTGTCGCGCAGCTTAATGACTGACCACTGGGCCATTTTTAACCATTGGTTACGCGAACGTATTGCGTTTTGAAATAAGTTGAACAATGCCCAATATTCATTACCTAAACCCGTAGGATTTAGACCGGCCTTTAGACTGCGTCACTTCGAGGTAATCAAAGAATTGCGACAGAACAGCGCACATTAATCATTCCGCCAAATGTGGAAGACAAAAGGAAAATTGGCATTGTACTTTAGCTGCACAAACACTTGGTAAAAGGATACCCTAGTGAATTACGAAAACAGTATGATTTGATTATAATTCCGGCACAGAAAGCATACGCCTTTGTCCTTGTATGAAAATAAGTTGGACTGGTTCAAACGAATTGCCAGTAAACTTTAAAACATTCTCGACATGTTATCTTAGTGCCAGACCTCATACCGAGATTGGGATGTATTCTGTAAGCAGCTATATCTATTCTAACGGACCATTGCTAATAACTTCAGGTGGAGAGATAATTTACGACTTCTTTCTGTTCATCATTTCTGTTGTGGAAATTACTAAAGCATTACTTGCTGTGAAAAGTAAGCAGCCAGCGTACTAGTTAAAAGCTCACTCACTTTGAGAAATATCCGCCAAACGATCGATCAATATCACATATGTGTTCATTGTTTTGAACGAGTCTGATAAAAGATGGGAATTGTACACATCAGTTGCAAAATAAGTTTAAGGGATCCCTATATACTGAAGCCATTTTCTTTCTCACAGTGAAAAGTGCATTTGTAATGGCGTAGTGTGAACCAAATTACATACTCTTTTTGCTAGTTTCAGGTCGCTGAGCTACCCTCTAGCTTGGACGGCGGAAACTTCAGACAGAAATTGAGAAGTAATGTGTTGTTTTACCTCTAAACTCCACTTGCTTTTCTGACCAATTAGCAGCATACTTGTGGTTGTTTTGTTTAGGCTGTTTATTGTAGTTCCTGTGATTAAACCCACACTTAGTGTTTGGGAATGTGAACAGCAGGTAGATGTTGATCGGGGTAGTTTCGTTGTACTGAAGGTGACAGGGGACTAGAAAATTTAACAATAGTAAAGAAAGCTCTTCAAGCATATTGCCACTCAATATTTGTTACTGAATCACAAATGGAGGCCAGCAATCCTTACGGAATAAGCACATACATGTAGGTTGTATATATATATATATACATATATACATATATTCATGTTGTCCCTGATAGCTAATGAAAGCTTAATAGATTTTAGCAGTTACAAATAAAACTGGAATTGCACGACCTGCACAGGAGTACTCTGATGAGAACAATATTTTGCTTATCCACTCTACAGTTGGACCGAATTTATTTAATCTATACATGATGTTCGACTGTATATCTTTAATACTCATTCTGAAGTGATCCACTTTCATCAGCCCGACTAAGTTCCAATTTTACCACAGTGTTTTCATAGTCTTTCAATTCCCACTACTTGATCGTGTGCTAATGTGCCTGATTAAGAACCGTGAAATTCACCATAGCAAATGGTTACTGATGACTACCATTTTTACCAGCATAGGTGTGCAATTCAATACCAGTGGATCAGAGGTTCATACCCTCAGAGAAAGGAGAAATTTTCAAGTAAATAATTGTTTGGCTTTGACTACACTCATGATTGACTGTGCCGTTTAGCACAAAAGTTGAGGTAATCTTGACAAAGATGAACCATTAGTGGAGTTGCATTTGCTTACATCTGCTTATTGTTCCTTACGTGTTGCTTATTATGTGTAATACGCATACTTGTTTCTATTAAATGTCAATAGTAATTGGCTGCATATAATCACTGCAACGATTCCATTGCATTGGTTAAGTAGTGGTCACCGAATGTTCTGTGTCCACTTACGTGTGTGAATTTCTTGATTGATTCCAAGGAGGTTCTCAAGTAAAGAGTGTTCTTCCATTGTTACTGTTCGGAGGAATTAAAGATACAGCGCAATGTAGGCTATGGGAACAACATAAGTAAATCTGACAAACAACAATTAACAAGCTGACGGCTATCATGCTTAACACTGATTCTAATGCAATGCATCCGGTTCATACGGTTTGCCAGCAAATGTTGGTTGCGTTAATTATGTGATGGACTGCGTATCTAAGCTAAGCTTTAATGGCAGCATGTAACTCAAACGAAAATTGATACGAAGTGCGGATCCGGTAGTTCAAGCCTTATTTGGTGTGCCATTTTTAATACGGTCTTGGAGAAATACAATGCCATTCAGAGCACATTGGCATGCCCTTTATATGCAACGGTTGTATCCACATTGGAGCAAAAATGTGTCGTCAATATGTGGTTGGCAATTTGGTGCAAACTTGGAGTGCTACGTTATTGCGCAGTTAGGACGCAATGAGCCAAGCTTCAATCAAATTCGCTGTTTTGAGAAATTCGAAAGAAAGCGAATTTTGTTGTAAACTGTTGAGTGTGTCTGCGCAACTGCTTTCAAGTCAGATAGTCTATTGCATGCCGAAAACTTCACTAGCTGTTCGACCCTGTACGTTGTAACTTTCGTAAATTAAATGGCAGTGAAGGATGAGAAGTTTCCTGTCCCAGTTAGCTAGCAACTCATGACTGTCCAACACCGTCCCCCATGACTAAGTAACGTAAGCTGGTGATTTATGATACAAGCCGCTAGTGGTCATGGGTTCGATTCCTGAATAAGCCGATGGATTTGCTCCGCTGATTAGACCCAACTGTCGGAAACTGTGGTCCAGTATTTTCAAGGCATATGGAAAACTACCTAATTGGTACCTAATGCGACGAAATCCTAAGCAATTATAAACAGATATCGCTTGCTGAAACCATAATCACTATTAGAATACAGCACGTTTTAGAAGATATAAGTTGCTAAGACTGCCCTTCCCACCTTGCAAACGTGATAAGTATTGATCTCGAGGACATACTGTTATACTTATTGTTAAAACCCTGAATCGGAAATGGATTAAATGGTAAGCTGCAAAAGACAAACATAATTAGGCTAAAGATTATCAGCCTATTTTTCAGAACATAATGATATAATAATTTACGAAACGCTGAATAATATCTTTCAATCGAACATTAATCCTTTTTCTTTATGCTAAATACAAGTACTTAGTTATACAGGTCGTTGATCACAATGCACTTATTTATGAGGATAACGTTAAAGGAGCCACATCTCAACACTTAAAGGAGGCGCTAAATGTTTTTCATTTGTTTGAGAAAAATCTTTGGGTAAAACGATTTCTTCTACTTTGGCTGCCGAGGTGACTAGTAAAATTCCACCAAAATATACGGCAATCTTAATGTCTTACAAATTCCTGTCTTCCTGATATATCAAACTCACACTTTGTTTGGTTCACGAAGTCGAATGCTGTAAGCAACAGAGTTTCCTGTCGGGCTAATACGCCTGATGAAGCGGAAAAATGCAGCTGCGAATTAATATTGAGGACAATTTCTTCTAAAAAAATGTGAATGCTAGGCTGCCTTAAATGTTCGCATGAATAAACGACAGTGAGCTTGTCAAGCCGTATTTGGGCCTGATGTATACACGGAGAAACGTATCATTACTTGTAATATCGCTGGTAACAAAGGATTTAACTTGTCAAAATAACTATGCCTACAAACGTATTGCAGTAGGGCAGATTATGTGGGCAAAGCGAGGTGTTGCAAATATTGAGCAGTCAAAATATATCATCATATGGTAATAACTGATGTAAATTGGAAAGCTAACGCAGTACACTCCGACTGTGAATTACCGTATGCGCTTTTGATGTCAGACAATCCAGATAGTGGAAACATGTTTACTGTTCAAACTACCTAGAGTGATTCATTAGAAGATGGAAGCTGTCTATAATTTGGCGTTGGGATCTGTACATAGGGTCTTGAGATTTTGGGATCTGCTCATATGTTTATATTATTAAGGTAGAAGCAACTGTTTGTGATAGGTTATAATCTCTGTTCTAAGGAACAACTTAACTCATGTGCGAAAATCTGTTATTTTTAGTTGTTTTGGTTGCTCAAAAGCCGGTTTGTATTTTGTGGGCATTCCCAATGGTTGACTGAAGTTGGGGCAATGGAAGTATATTTGCAGCATATTTTCTATATTGACTCATTTCACTGAGCCATACTCCATCACATTAATCCACAAACACGTCATTTTATACAAACGACTGCGTCCAAACACAGAACAGAACTCAACCAATCGTTGAGATGCTGTACCATGTTGTGGCTCACCTGTTATGTAGGATTCGATGTACATTCGCAAACTTGACAATAATGTGCTCGTGTGTTCAGCAGCTAAAGAAAATCAACCAAGAGGATTAGCAGCTTAGAGATGTGGCCTTTGGTAAAAGCAACACTACGAGGGAAAATAATTAGAGGGGTAACTTGGATACGGATGCGGGTTCGTCAACCATGTCTAATAGAATAAATATTTTCCGGAAAAAACTCAAATAGCTGTGCAGTCTGAATGCTATGCGTTTTGTTCGCTGGTTTCCTGTCAGCCACTATTCTTTTGTCATTTCTCACCCGTATCCCGTCATCGGTTAAAGAACACTGAGAGTTTTCTCTCTGCTTGAAGAGATGCCATCTAAAGAGTTCAAAAGCAAATGCTGAACCGTCAACTGATTTCGCCACTTAAGTTTATCCGCATAACAGCAAATTATGTTTGATCACGGCAGCTAAACGTTGTGCGTCACTTATATGCCCTTAAAATTCTTCAAATCATTTGGCGAAGCTGAGTATTAGTTGCGTCACTGGACCCTTAAACAATTTGTTATTTCGGCGTTGTTCAGTGGATTTGCTGAGAAGTGCCCAATGAAATTCACTTTATCTTCGAAGTTGAAATAACGCTTCGGAGAAATATGGATCACAGTTGATATGTAGGTACAGCTAGTTGCTGGGATGGTTCATTCCTAGGGCAGTGTCAAAGGGCATGTGAGTTTAACTGGAAGTACGTTGAGAACCTCCACGGGAAGCGAATTGTTAATAAGAAAGCACTGTCAGGCATACATTGACTAGGTGAAGATATAAACCAGTCGGCACACTGAACGGCTCCTAGTTGTCGCAACAGAAATGCTATGCGGGAAATTAGACTGGGTAGTGATAGTTGGCTAAGAACAGGTTAGCGTACAAAATACGCAAACATATGCTGAACGCAAATAGAATCTACAGGCTTGTGTGTGAATTTTGTGCGCTCATTGGCGTTGTCCGCTAGACTTACACATATTCGGCATTGTCAGTGATGCCATTCTTTGTAGGAATACTTCCGTCAGTTCTTCGGATCCTGTAACACGCAATATAAGGATACATACAGTGATTTGGCTGTGCCATTAAATATGTTGCTTCACAGTGTTCTATTTGAACACCGTGATTTTACGTATAACGGGTCTTATTCCACATCAAGAATTGGTTATTTCTGAAAGCAGATGGTTTCAGGTTGGCCAACAAATGCTAGCATTTTGTTTATCCTTGGAGAAATATACATATTTATATAAAGAAATACGAAGAAGAATATAACGAAATTACTGTGACCAAACTGTTCATTTTCACGACGCATATTGTGGAATAATGTTTGACCTGTAAAACATTTTGCTAGCAAATGTTAGTATTTCGCCAAAAATGAATACAAACAACCTTCAGTTCTTAGCTGCTGTTCCAGCCTTGATTCAATAGAGCAATTTTAATTGAATTGCATTAGCTTATAAATGTAGTCATTGCTTTCTTAACAACTTGTCAAGTAATTATAACTGTCCCTCAAATTTAAAACAACTTTTTATAGGTTGTTTAGCAGCAACATTATATACACATCTGATCATCATTTAGGTTTGTGTACCACAAATATGCAGTCCATTGTTCTTAAGAAAATTCTGTGTGCATCTTTCGCAATAATGTAACCTGCAGGACTTGTAACCTAAGCTATCTACTGTCCCCAGAAGAGGGAAGCTGTCTCCAATTCTCGTCACCAAATGCATCCGCAGTGTTTGCCACCAGATTTTAACATCCCATAATCCATTCACAATTTGTTTAACGTAAAAAGCCTTTTCTTAACTTTAACAATCGAAAAGTGGTTTCTAAAAACAAACGAATGAGTTTAAGAAAGGTCGTTCGATATTGCAGACAGGTTAAGACTGTCTACTTTTCATTAGGATAGTTGTAGCCGTTTGAAATGCTAGCAGATCTATAATTGTCCGTGCAAATTCTGAATGTCAACTTAGGTCTACCAACCCAGTGTTCAATCAGGTAGATTCAGTTTTCATGAACATAAATTAAATGGTATCATTGGACTGCGGAATATAACCTATCAATTGATGAATGCCTCAAAGAGTGTCAGCCTTCAGTAAATTGAATAGAATAAGTCAAAACGGATCAGTTGTTTAATAGAAAACTATTTGAAATTTTAGATATATAACACGCTGTGTTTGGCACTCTTCAAAGCACGTGGCTACGACATCAGTGTTTTCTTGATCTCATGACCTGTTTGGAGTGTAGGCACTTGCGAGCAAATGCAATAATTAAATGGTTAAATCGGATTGTGGTATTCTGCGCTGAGTGAGAAATGATATACATCTGACTGCATTATTCAGCTATAGACACATGGATAAAAACAAATAATTATCCTCCTAAATCAAGCAGTTTACATGGTCAAGCTAAGATTAGATGACAAGGCGATCTAGGACAGTTTCTGTGTAGCTTCGAATAGTGAAGTAAAGTTTGTAAGGTGAAACCATCAACGCGATTAAATTATTGAGCTTTCAGAATAAACTAACAAACTTGCAGTGTCATACGCAACTTCGGTTAATCAGGACTAATGTTTAGTGGAACCAGCAAAATTCCAAATCACCGAACTCTAATATTGGTCGCCATTAATCTTCTTTTATTTACTTATTCTTGAGGCGGACAACAGAGCAGTAACCGAAGAAAGTGCATCAGCATGTCTGGGCACAAGAATAGCTTCCGTACTTGCAACTATAAATTGCAGTTGATGGATTAGACTCGGTTCAATCTGATTTCTCATAATCCAACTACATGCAGCATAACCTCTGAAGTTAACCAACTGCATATCCCGATCACCGTTCTATGTCGACCGGATAGTTTTCGCTGCTGCAACCTACACCATGTAAACCCTACGGATTTAGAACGCTGTTTGCTAACCAAGTATTGTAACCTCGTGGCCCAGTTCCTTGAACGGTCAAATTAACGAGGTTTAACTCCTTACGTTCTGTAAAGCAAATTTGGCGAAATGTACGCCGGATAAATCGTAAAGCCTACCTTTGGCTACCTGCACCCAAGTTTGTAGCATGGCGTCGTAATCGGCAGAGTTAAATTGAGAAGCTGAAAGGCAAAACGAGAAAACATTAGGGGGTCGCATTTTTGACTTTTCCCATTACAGAACAGGAGGATTGGAATTCGAAGTAGGTGGAAATTTAAATACTAGCAGGTGGGACTACAGTTGAATTATCCCCATGTAACAAGGCTCATTTCATAGGTCAATCGGCTGTACTATACCAGATTGCTTTGCAATCCTTGGGGTTCCATCCCTAAGGAGTACACCTCGTACCAGCTAGAAACTACTGCAAGCAACATGCATTAGAATTTGGATGACAAAACACAAAAATCCTCTATCTACAAAGATACTTACTCGAATGTCGGCTGAGGATTTCAGCCACAGACTTGTAATTTTTGTTGTTGATTTCCTCCAACACTGGAAAAGCATTCAAAATGATAAATGTAATTAGGGGAAGCAATAAAGTTGAAGTGAATGTGCATCATTACTGAACTGCAGTCATGCACGCGTTTTGTGTTGCCTAATATGAAGTAGCGGTATTCTACATATTCGTCCACTGGTTTTACTTAATGCCACAGGAAGGAATTGGTCAGAAATGGTATGTGACAACTTGAGGAACGAAGTTGGAACAGATGTGTGTTAGTGCTAATACTTGCTCCAGTATGCTCAAGCGTATAGTATGTGATAATCATATCTATGTATTATTTTAGACGCATGGAATGCGAGTTTTTCTGAAGCAGTATAGTTTGGAAATAAACTTAGAGGAACGATGGATAACAATGATAACTTCGGCATCTATTGAATAAATTGGTGAATAGAATGATGCAGCCGCAGCCTTGTTCTACAGAGGAACTCATTGGAATTTAACATAGTTATACAGATGAGCAAATGGTTCTCCACCGTGCAACTTATACAAACAAGCGTTTGAAAACTGGCCCGGAAAACAATAACTAGTACTTTTGGTCTGGGTAAACGTGATGACTACAAGTAGCTTGAAAACGTTTGGCCAAGTAAAATAAGAAACTTAGACTTCTACTTCAGAGGTGCTAGAGAGCAATTTCTGGTACATAGCTCAAGTGTTTGTTGGTCAAGCCAACATCTCCTTCTTCCCCGCCAGCACCTTATAATATTTAAATTAAAATGCCGTTTGGACACAAGAGCAAGCAGAATAGTTTTAGTTTTGGTCTTACACTGCAAAAGAACCATCGCCTGACAAACGAGAAACCTGATGCCAAAGTTAATTAAACGTAGAGCTCTTTATCTCGGCACAATATCTTGCTCTGCCGTGTGTTGGGAACGACCATACGGATTAATTACTGGGAGGACTTTTAATGGTTTTAATTCCTCTGACTTCATCCGTCAATCCATATAAGCTGTGGACATGCCGTTTTTATTTCATGGTGCTCAACATGAAATACACAATTCGTCTCATGTATAGTAGATTTAACGTCTAAATATAGAGTATTTATTTTGAGCATGGAAAGAAAAAGTGACAACTTTAGTCCCAAATGTGTTTCTCATGTGTGCATGCAGTCAGATGTGTGTTCGCCTAACAGCAGTTAATGCCATTCACTTTCCGGTTGACCAACAGATTACGCCCCACGAGGGCGCTCATAAAAGCAGTAGGTCAAGCATGTCGCCTGATTGACTTGGCCCAGGAAACAATCAACATATACATGAGCTTTCGTAAATTTTTGTAGAAGTTGGCCAAGATAGACAATGTAAAATGCAGACATGCATTCGGATCCCTCATCTAAAACTTTCAGATTCCAAAAAGTACATACTTCCATACTATGCATTTATGGTATGAAGTCACTGGATTTAACATTTCTGCTCACAAGTTTAGTTATCATCGCAAGGAAAGCCTTCTGAGCAACGAGACAATCAGATGCTGTTGAAAACCAGCTGTTATGCACCTCAGAGTCTGGGATTAAGCAGTTTCCGTTGAAACCGTTTAACTTCAGTTTGAAACTAGGCTTATATCTTACATTATATATTGGCATAGCAGATGATAACAATGTAGCCCGATTCGGCCGAGATTGTCAACGTCTGATTTACAGGAAGTCATGAAATTACCGTACGCCAGGTAAGAAATTACCTTTAGGTTAGTAACAACACGTTGCCCACCGTGACCCGGTAGCCGAAGGGGTAGAGATTTCGGCTACTAGTCCAGGGATTAAGGCCAACTGTCTCCACCTAATGAGATGAAATTACATCGAAACGCGTCGTGGTTGTGCAGTGTTTTCGGGTGGACAACACCCAATTTCTAGCAGTTGGTGCCAAAACCTTTATCCAAACGCCACTCGCTTATTGGTTGTAGCAATTGCCGGTGATAGAACACAGCGAGAACAAGGAAAAACTACGATATCAGCGTGTACGGAGAAAAATATGAGTAAGCGTGGCAAAGTAAATAGCTGGTATTGAGCGGGCAATATGTACACCGAGCATGTTTCGTATGTGGTACTCACTTTGCACAAAGGAGCGGGCCCCATGTGTAAGCATTTTGATAGCGTCATACAAGTAACCGGTTTCTAGGAGTAGCAAAAACAATAGGATACACAATATCAAATCATCATGTCCCAGCAGCTTTCGAGTTGCTCAGGCGTACTTACAATGGAACATAGTTTAAAACATTCTGTCTAAATGCGCGACTAAAACCGGCAATGTTTACGATGTGGATTTCAGTCCATGCTGCATTTCCATCTTCAACACGCAAAATAATATTCTTGCCGCCGCACAGTTATACGGTTAGCTGCGAACAGACGTTCGGGCTGGTGCACGACAATGATCTATACACAATTATAAAGGAATTCACAAATATCACATTGCGTACTTTGGTTGGTTGCATATAAAGCATTTCGATACTAGAGTAACTTGTTTATGGCGCATGCAGCTTATTAGAAATTGGAACGGAGCAGAGTAAAAGTCAGTGGTGTATGCACTAGACGATGAAAAATTTACTGCTCAGTCTAAGATTACAGAACAGTATTTATCACGTTAAACTTTGTGTTATCCACTAGGAAACCTTCGAATCATCTTCGTGCCTTAGCTTGCGCCTGAGGATGGGTAAAGTACACAAACAGACTTCATTTAATCAACACTGCGAACACCCAGGACGAGGAAATATCAGCATCTATTGTCTTATAAATAGGATAGAAGGAGACACTGAAATAACTAGTCACGTGAACATACCACTGTGCGGCGTTAATGTCTCTGAAATCAACAATACGCGACCAAAACATTACACAAAGCATGTGTCATAAGTACTGGAATAAATACTAATTTGTCAATGGATTTTTCCAACTCTCCAAATATGTTTTATTACAGTAACATTTAGTAATTAACTGTAATCGACAACCGGTATGCTTGACCAAAAACGATGTTATTCCATTACTTATTTATTTACGGGGGTGATATTAGTTTCATCGGTATTTATTTTCATTAATTGCTTAAAGAACAGCATTTCCATGCGTTTCATATGATTATATTTGTATGAGAAACAGCTTACAAATCGGGTAATTAGCTGGGTGATAACGAGCACATTCAATTCTCTGAGCATGATCATGGAAGACTAGCATATATGCAGCACCCGGTTAATTGAATTTATTAAGGCCAATTCCAGACTTTATCATTTAAACTTTATGTATATCCATATTTCAGTCGATATAAAACTGACAAGCAATTTTACGTTGTAACTCCATCGCTGTGTTTGCTGCCTAGTAGCTTATTTGCATATTCATTTTTAAAACGCGGAATGCTTTTGGAAAAGTGTAGCGCAGTCTATTTGAACTTACGGAGATCCATCGGTGTTTTAAACTACACATTATGCACCGGCATACTTGATGTTCATTGCGCCATTTACATGGGAATACAAGACCACTTTAATGTTCAGCTCGAACTTACCTCTCCTTTTGGGCTGCTTAGTGCTGCTGTCGCTGCTGCTGCTGCTGTCTGCATGGGTGATGAGATAAAAGCGCTGTCTTTAGTAGCGAACTTTTGCGAGAATTACACATTTTCTACTGCGGCAATAAGCAAATGTGATTGTTGCATTCCGCCGAAATAAAGAAACAGCTACATAAGATCAACACTAAGAAGAAAATCCGGAAACTGCGCTTAATTCGAAGCGACCTGCATAGCTTATTGCTACATTCTGGTAGGAGATATACCAGAGTAACAGCTAGAGAGACAAGTATTAAAAATTCAAAAAGGTGCAGGACAGATATTCCAACATTCTGTGAAGCATCAGCAATGCGCATCTGGTATCTGACAAGTGATATTAGAACTTGTAACACTACCCTCACAATCAGGAGTATGAGATTCCTCGCGTTTTATACTACAGGAATTATAAACTGCAATAGTGACCGTGCAATTTAACTTGCCCATAAGCCCCTTAACAAGTACTGTTTAAGTCTAGACGACAATGATAAATGTAGAGCTGCTGATGACAACTCAGCTTTCCTGTACAAGTTGAGCGAAGAATATATGTTTCCAGTCTTGAGTACTTTGCATTCTATGCATCTCGTTCGATTCGATATTCTGCACAGGGATGGCCTCACATTTACCCCTCCATCATTCATGCGACTTACGAGGTTCTGGTACACTGTCCACACAGTTAATAGAAAACAAAGAGCACATGATTATTCGCATTTTAACATGATGCACTTGTTGTGGGTACGTGTTGTGGCGTCATTTATACACTCTAAATTACATACTGCATCACTCCACTAAGCGCGTAGTCCGTTATGTAATGTAGTGAGATCATATAAACTGCTAGGTGAATTGTTTGTTCAACTTTAATCTGACAAAGCAACCTTAACAAACCACAAGTTAACCTGTACTATTTGTGATGGCAAAAGGTTGCCCTAATTGCTTCTCGTCTTTAGGAGGAACCCGTATTCAATTCCTAGATGAAGCTTAGTGAACAGAATTGTAAGAACTGACTCAGTGACACAAACCTCTGCCTCTTACTTGATCCGCCTTTGTTCCTTACACACCTTTACAGAGGGTGAATGAAGCTGATGATGGGATATGTGCTAGGATATTATGCATGGTCTACCGATGTCTTGGAGTATGGAATCGTCACTAATCTGAGTAGTTTCAAAGCTCATTAGTTATACCGTTTAAATATTGTCAAACGAATTAGGGAATGATGAGTAAAACCTTCAGCAGATAGTGAGATTAGCGGAGCCAATTGCAGTCGGGAAATCAATGCCACATGAATCTACTGTCCGTATTATGATAAACTTACTTTTATTCAGAGGGATTTGTGTGGGCGCCGTTGCTGAGAAAATAAAAGAGTGAAGATGCAAAAGTTTGGTTACTCTTATGTCAACATATAAAGGAGGAAGTAGATTTAACGAAACAAGGTTATAATATGTGAATGTTTATGTGAATGTTTATCCATCACAGTGAATACCAGCTAGGTCGAAGCAACCAGCGATTTGCAAACTAGAAAATCATTTCGTCTGCAAGGTAATTGACTTCTATTTGGTAAAATACAGAAATCGAAGTAGCGTGTCACGCCTAATAATCGTCCTTACTTTGATATAACCGATTGTAAACTCGAATATATCATTTTGCAACCAGTATTTAGTTTTTCTGCTCAAAGGCTGAGGCTGTTTTCATGATACAGGGGTTAGATGTGAGCGTGAATTACTCACATCCATCATATTCGGCGCGCAATGTGATTGTTTCTCGCACTTCCGTGGCGAGAACCAGCAACTTGTACAACACGTTGCTGTAGCTAATGGAGCGGTCAGAGATTACTCAATCGAAGCTTTGGGAAGCATTGTTGTACAGAAAGTACAAGGCAGCAGCGATGTGTCTCACTAAGTACAACTTAGATCGTGCTTATTTTTAATGCTGTTTCCGCTACGACTTGCACTATATCGGACACAGGATAGGGAATCAGGTTGGATAGATTACAACGCTTTGTTCTACATCAGCTAGTGAACCGCCTGTTGACAGCCGATGTCCACATTATTAGTATTACCCGTAGTATACAGATGCGTTCAACATCGACCCACAACATCATGGCTTTTTCATATGCACAACTGCAAATTTTGTCGTTTGCTAAATATCAAATCTTATGTAATTGTTGTCAAATACCGAACAGTCAACTTGTGGATGCTGTGAAAATTCTGTTAGAGGAAATGGCTTGATTTTTTGATTGCTCTGGTAAGGTTCATATTTTGAATGTTAGAGTTCATACAGACCCTTGTCGCATTCTTTCTATTCCGTTAGGTTTCAAACACATTTTGCTCAACTAATTATGCAAAGAAATGCTGCCAGAGATGTGCTTTAATTTCGTGGATTCGGCCCTTAACCCAAAATGTCTAACAATGAGGCGCCCACAGAGAAATTGTCGTCCACACTGGTTCAAATTCAACATAAAACGCAACTCGAACATATTCCACTCTCCAATGACAAGTCATTTCCTCGGCAGCTGAGTGATTCTGGAGGCAGGATATCAACTCAGGATAATTCTACATCGGTGTTAATTTTTCTGACTGTAATGACTATATCGAATTATCAAATGGCTGAGGAACTTTAATAAACAACTGGAATGTAGGTTCTGCATGAAAAAAAGCGAAATTGTACTGCAAACCAAGTCATGCCAAATGTTACCGAGGTCAATCGCTGCGCTATGCTACAAATTGTGTGCCGGCATACTTGATGTTACTTGGACCATCCATATTGGAATACAAGAACGGTATAACAGTCAAATTGAACTCACCGTTTCTTTTGGGCTGATTGATGCTACTACTGTCTGCATGGGTAGCAGGGGAAATGTTTGGTCATTAGAATCGAATTGATGCCGCTAAAAAGCAAATGCTAATCCTGCATTCCAATTACAGAAATGCTCATACGAATACAGTACTTATGAGTCAGTATTACCAACGCACGTAATACAGCAGTGCGCATCTGGTATGTGATAAGTGAGGTTAGAACCGGCAGCGCTAACCTAACAAGCCGGGGTTAAGTGTCTCTTTCAGTGTCTCTTACAAAGATTATAAACAGAGTCAAAGTGCCATGTAGCGTACTTATAAGCCCCTTGACAAGTATTGCTTAAGTCCAGATAATATAAATAGTATCTGGTCACAAATCAGCTTCCTGGTACAACCAGCGAAGAATATAGGTTTGCAGTTTCGTGTATATTGTAAAGGTAGGTATCTCATCCGATTCAAATAATTGCGCATGGAGTACCTGTCTTGCAACCCACAAATACTCATGCGAATCATCAGGTTCAGGGACGCGGTATTCCGATTTATTCTTCGTAGGCTGTTTGTTCAAAGTAAATCAGATTAAACGACCTTAACCAACTGTCAGGCAAGTGCAATACTTTCGAGGGTAAAGGAGAACCCTTATTGCCTAATGTCTTTAGGATGACTTCTCAATTTATTACTGGAGGAACACTCGTACAGATGAATAGAGGAGATGTCTCGTTGTCACTCCAACCTCATTTGCCTTGGTCCTTTAGAACCTTTACTAAGGAAGAATTAAGCTAAATAGATGAGCAGATTTGCCATATGTTATCATGCATGTTCTACTAGATTCATTGAGCATATGGTTTGTATTAGTTAATATTAGAAGCTCTTCATTGACACCTGTTTTGATTTTGCCCCACAAATGATTGAAAGACGAATGAAACTTTTGATAAATAGTGAGTTTAGCGGAACCGGCTGCAATTCGGATTATGTAAAACTTACTTGTCTTTCGGGGGATTTGTTTGGCCGGTGTTGCTGTGAAAACAAAGGTAGGAGTATACGAATGTTAGGTTAATCTTGGGTCATTGTTTATAGAAACCATGCTCAGTGGGAACAGAAACGTCAAAAATAATCGATGTGATTTTTAACAATCGTATCATATTTGCAGACCAGCTAAGCAATTCGATTCACATGTAAGAATAGGACCAGTTGATTAATGTCAAAGCAAATGAATAATTGTAACCTTCAAAAACAGCATAAACCCGTTCTCTTATGCATTTCTAAGGTAGATTAAAAAACTTCTCTTCTAAACGACTCCATGCAAACCGATTTAATATGAGCAAGCCATTGCGTACTAAAGTGGTAGCGGCTACTCCACATTGCAACAAGACAGTTGCTGACGCGAGGCACATGGCACAAGTCTCTATTAAGATAGTTTGTAAAGTCGCGACTGTGTTACT